GGGGGGGGAGGGGGGGGGAAGTTCTTCCTTACTCCAGGGATCAAAGAGGAAACCGTTAGGCATAACTAAAAACATGACTGAAGGACCAAAGGCTCTGGAAAGAGCAATACTAGTAATGCTGTTGATCAGCACAGAGAGAAATGACACATCATAGCTTGTCCTCCAGGGCCACAGTGGGTAATCTCTCAGTGGCCCCTCTTCCCTCTCTTCTCTTCCACCAGTCCAGTCCAGTCCCGGTTTGCAATCAGTGCCTTGGTCTGTTCTCATGGGAGAGACACAAGAAGAGAAATAAGAGAAGAGATTAAATGGGTCCAAGGCCACACTGAAGAGAGAGTACACTGTTCCCTCTTGGTTTTTTGTTAGTGGTATTTCTGGAGCAGAGTCTCTTCCTACACAACTGTTTCCACAATCATGTTTCCATCTGAAAGGTGACCTTTTGCCAACATATGCCAGTGAAATGAATGACAGTAGCTCTCTCTCTGCTAATTCTGAGATGACAGAATAGTGTAGTCTCTGTGCAGTCTGTATCCCAAATACAGAACGGATCAGACAGCCAGATGCTGAAGTATGCAGCAGGCTTGATAAACATTGCGCAGGTTCAGTTACCTGAACCAGAAGATGTGACAACAGTGGTTTTCATCTTGGAAACGGGACACTCCGCAAAAAGGTACTCAATTTTGTAACTTTGTTGGGGGATTCTCACTGCAAATTAAGATAAGACTAATTCACTGATAGCTGCAGGTACATTCATATGACTCAAAGAAAGTTTCAGGATATTTATCTAGAAAACCCCAAAAATGGGCTAAGAAAGAGGCAATCTGACTTCTTTTCTCTTTTTTTTTTTATTTCTAAAGTACAAAGAAATTCCAAAACTTTCAGTATTTCAGGAAATTTACACTGATTACTAAACAAAATAATATTGTTAAAATTCCTAGAGTGCAAATGGATATACCAGCTAAATCTGCTCCTAGATTGCATAAGAAATTTCTGATATAACATGGCCTGAAGACCTCAAACACTAAGAGAAAAGGAAGACAGTTCATGGCTCTTCATCCCTTTCGACAAAAGCCCAATTTTCTTGAAAGTCTTCCTGCTTCTCAAATAAATCACAGATAAAGACAGGCGTTGATAGAGTTAAACAGTTCTACTTTGATGGATAAAAGTAAAGAGTTAATAACCAAAGTTCCTCGCAGTTATAAATGCCATTAACTGGCTCTCACAATCCTACTGTTTCAAGGAGAGAGATTATTTTGAGTTTGTAGGGCAAAGAAGAGCAAGCATTTGCCAGCTAAATTGAAGAGAAAAACTTTACATATAAAGACCTCTAGTAAAACCACTGATTGAACAGTATGCTTGTTGAATGCTGCCTTTACTTAGACATCAACTGGCTTACTGTTGCCTTAATTTATAATTCGGGATTTTTTTTACAAAAAGGGAAGGTATACCAGGTCACTATTGCTTGTGCTGTTTGGTCTGCATTTAGGCAAGCAAGCAGATAGAGAAAAATTAAAATGAGCAAACTTAGATAATCTACTGCCAAAATATGTCCACATTCCCAGAGGCTGGGAAGACAAGCAGAGGCAAGCTGGCAGGCCAAAAGAGGAAGGTTTCTGCTCCTCTGAGTGAGGAGAGATGGAGCCTTCTGAGCATGTAACTTCCTGAGGGGCCAGGTTTGACCACCTGGAACTTGGCAACTGCTGTTTGCTTCTACTGTGATGATGGGAACAGTGTATGTCTGTATGTAGTCTTGATAAAAAAGAAACAGTGCTGCATCTCTAGGGAAGTCCATTCCTCCCTGATAGGAGCAACCCTGCAGAGCCCCAGACAAGCACACGTTTTGCAGTATGGGGATGAGAGTCCCTGTTTTGAAAGGCAGGACTTCCACCACCTTTTAGGTGTTTCTGAGCTTTGCAGAGGCAACTTCCTAAGGCTAAAGTCATAAAAGAATGTAACTTCCTGTTCAAGTGATGCCATTACAGTGGTTTCACTCGGCTGTGTATCAGGTGCTGCAGAGGGAGGAGGAGAGAAGTTGTGTGAGCAACCGAGGGTGCAGCCTGGCCCCACTAGGAAGTAAGGCTGGTGGTGTGGGGCCCTGGGAGACACAGCAGCGCCTGGAGAGGGTGGGGAAAAGGTGTTGGGGTCACCACTAGCACCATGTTCCTGGGGATCCTCGTGGTGTTCTGCTTCATCCCCTCTGCTGATGTGACAGGTAACAAAACCCCTTCACATTTCAATCCTTTCCACTATTTTTCATCACTTTGATCACTGGGGGGAGAAGGTCTAGGATAGCTTTAAAATTAGCTTTGCACAAATTATTCTGTGCTTGGGGGAAAGGGGAGAGACAAAGCATACTGCTAAGACTGCACATGGATCAACTTGATGTAACTATGAGGCTGATTTTTTTTCTTGCCATGAATATCCCTCCAAGATAAGACCCAAGAGCTTTATTTTCATTTGACTTCTGTTTTGATGCATTTGGAAATTGCATGCATAGATAGATGGGTGTTTTCTTTCACCTTTCTTGTGGGCTTTACAAATTTTGCTCACAAGTGTCTTTCCTTTGAGGGCAGGGGGCAGAGCAGACCTGGTGCCAGTGCCGCTTTTAGGGCAGCTTTTTCACCATCCTCAAGTTTCTTGTGCAAAACTCCAGGTCCCATCATGGCCTGGCTCGGTGTGATGGGCTGCAGAGCTAAGCCCAGCCACATCCTCACAGAACTAGACAATAAAAGGACCAAAAGCAGAGTTGCTTACGGAGCACAGAGATGGCAGGATGGTAATTGCCAAGTTTCTGAGTTTTGCCTTGTTTAGTGGTTTATTGATACTTACTAGATATCTACCTTCTTTCTGAAAAGATCCTCAATAACAAAAAATGTCTATTTGTGATTTTGAAATCCTGAGTCTTAGTTAATCTTTTTTGAATCTTCAGTAGTTGTGGCTGAGGGTATTTCATCTTGGTGTTGTCTTGCTCATGCAGTGTTAATTCATTCAGAGTTCACATATCTTTCCAAGGGGCACAGCAAAATGCAAAGCAAAGCAAAGGATGATGGCTTTTGCTAGGATAATCTTGAGACAGATAATTTTTCAAACCACTGGCCTGTGAGCTGTTGCTACTGGGTCTTCTCCAAATATCAGCATTTTGTATTTTACAGGGAAGTTAGAGATGGAAACAAAAATCTGTTTTCCAGTAAAAAGCTTTTGACATATAGGACATCTTCAAAGAGTTGCCTTTTCAATTTCAAGATACACAATTTATTCTAATTTTCCTTATTTCTGCCTTCTTTTTCTATAATTGTCTTTCTCAATGAAGACATTGTAATTTGCATGACACCATGATCTGCATTTCTTTAAGAGATCATAGGCTTTTTGTTCCTTGTCCTTTTTTCATGTTTATAATTCCATGTTTGCAATATCATTATTATTTCCACAGTAGGCCCATGGTTTCTCAGAGAAGATACTGGTTCCAGTATCAGCAGTCAGTTAAAAGTTTTAAAAAACATTTCCATGAGGTTTGAACAACTTTTAAAGAACTCTTGAACTGCAGCAAAATATAGTGTGTGCTTATCAGACACGGGTTATGCCATGACTGCATAGACAATTATACGCTTGCTTTGGATGAAGAACTTGAGTTTCTTCAATCACTGTTCAGCTGCTTAAAGAGAAACACACGTGGTCAGTTGCTTCTGAGGGCTCTCATCTCTTTTTCAGCTCTCTTCTCCACCTTTCATCTTCATTTTATTGAGATGATTATACTTAGTACATGGAAAACATTAAGGCAGGTCAAAACCCCGAAGGACTTTCTCAAGCCACAAACTGTATTGCAGGCCTCAGGTATTTTGTTTTGTGGAAGACAACCAAATTTGTCCTATTCCCCTGCTGTTAGACTGTACCAGTGAGTGCCGCAGGTTGAGTTTGAATCATGAAAAGGGATTTAAAGGATCAGTTTGTTTGTTTCCCTTCTGCAGCAACACTAACACATGCAAACTTTGTTGTCCTCTCCTCTTTTGGTTGGCTAAATAATTATCCTGCTATGGTCTGTCAGACAGGCAGCTAGATCAAGTTGCCTGTTGCATGTATTCTGTGAAATAAGTAACAGAAATGTGTTCCCACTGCAGCATACCACAAACGACCTCATCTTTTTCCTATCTGCATAACCTTCTGGCTTATGGTCTCTGGGTGTTGAAAATCAACCTCTAGCCCACTAAGGTTACCAGAATGCAGAAGATGTATGAGGCAAGGTTAGCTGAGATTAGGATGACATCAACAGATTCTTGTTTAAAAAAAAACAACAAACAAAACCCCAATAAATCACAAACTGACAAGGAAGTCCTCTGCTCACACTGGGTTTGAGTACAGCAAGAGTGTCACTTGGGCTTTATGTAGTACTATGCTTCCTGCAGTACTCGCAGGAAAGATTAGCAGAAAGCAAGCCTATAATGGCTAGAAGGAGCAGATTCCTCCAGCTGCACATTATACACACAGGTGGGTGACCTAAAACCACAGTAAATGAGAAAGACTCTTGTACCTGGGAAAGAACAGTAAAGGTAACTGAACTGCAGACCAGTAGCAACAAAAACAGAATAGCTTTGTTTATAACATAGTTGTGTGTCTTTCAGTTTGTGGACTAAATAAATGCCTTTCAGGTTTTCCCCTGTTGCCCCAGGGACTTAAGTGAGCCATTTCTCTACTGTGCTTATAGAAATCCCAATTTATCCCAGATTCCTTGCTCTGGCTTATAGCTCCTTGAAGTCAACTGGAATAGAAAAGAAAGAAAGGAGGGAAAAAAATATTTTTAGCAGAATTTTATTATTTTTTTTTTCCAATAGTTGATGATGATTCACGGAGAGTTCTGGAAGAAAACCCTCAAAATAGTTATTTTCCACATGTTGTCATCTCTATTTCACTTTCTTGGAAAGAGAGAGAAAGAGAGAAAGAGAGAAAGAGAAAGAGAGAGAGAGAGAAAGAAAGAAAGAAAGAGAGAGAGAGAAAGAGAGAAAGAGAGAAAGAGAGAAAGAGAGAAAGAGAGAAAGAAAGAAAGAAAGAAAGAAAGAGAGAAAGAAAGAAAGAAAGAAAGAAAGAAAGAAAGAAAGAAAGAAAGAAAGAAAGAAAGAAAGAAAGAAAGAAAGAAAGAAAGAAAGAAAGAAAGAAATGTAAGAAGTTTTGCTTGTATTGGAGGTCCAAGATTAGATAGTCAGTGTTTTATGCATGTTACATATGGATGTTGTGTTTTTTTTCATTATGCAAAAAACCCTCTCATGTGATTATAACAAACACCTAGCACAACAAATTAGGAATAAAAAAGTTAAACAAACATTTAGAGGTCTTACACACCATTGCATATAAATTCTAAGATCTTAAGAAACCTTGTAGCCTGTGCACATTGACTTAAATTATTTTACACTGTTAGACTTTATAGCTTTCTGAAACTGTAGAAAATGATTTTTCTTAACTGCCATTTTCTTGGCTGGGTAAGGCTGAGGATATATATATTTATTACTACGCAGCATGATTGAATACTGCTCTGGAAATAGTAATCATAACCCTATTCAGGGGAAAGCATACACTAATGGAAACATACTAAATGTTTCAGAGTTTCAACATTGTAACAAACCTAGAGTGACACTTATGAGAAAAACTGTCTGTGATGGCAAAAGACCATGTTTGCTCAGAATGGTCCAGATCCTACTAAGAATATAATCAAAACCTACTCAGATCACAAGTGAAGTAAGGGATGTTTGGCCTTAACTCTGTTTTCCCCATGAAACTAATGAACATTTTGGCATTATTGACTTTCTTAAATGAAAAAAAAAATCCAAGCCCAGAGAAGGACGATGACAGCACAGCCTAACAAGCCTGAGGGGTAAAGCGTGTTTTGTCCCTCCTGTCACTGCAGCCCAACCAATTCACATGATGCTTATTCCTATACATGAAAAACATAAGATCTCCCTCAATCAATTTATATTTGAACTAGCAGAGTCACTTTGTGATAGTGGATTTGGGTGCTTAGCTTAAATAGTTTTTGTTCAATAATCCACACATAAACTTTTTCCCACTGCTCAGCCATCCTGCACCCCAATACCAGCAGCACAAGGCTGGGTTATCAACACCCAGCCTGCATGCCAAGGCAAACAAACTCGGCTATAAATCCAAGAGGCAGAAATAAGGGATTTACTTCTTTAGGTGCGTGTATCGAAAGAGACTGCTTGCCAATTAGCACAATATGATGGCAAGGAGAAAAAGCAACCAAAGCTGTAGATAAATAGTGGAGTTCAGGGCATGAAGCCATATATTGTACATCAGGGATCTAGATTAGCTGACAACGGTAAGAGGTGGGGTTAAGTCATTGGGATCTGCAGTCAAGTCTAAATAATGTCTGACTGTGGTCCCTCAGTGATGAGACTTCCAGTGTTTGTTTTTCCTCTGGCCAGAGCAAAAATCTGATGAGGCTGAGCAATAAACATCCATTACCTTTCTGTAAATACCTGCAGTGAAAAACAGGCAAGCATTTTTCTGAAGTGTAATGCATCTGCAAGTATGTCTTCTGGGGTGCCTATTTTAGTTCTAAACTCAGAAAGAAAAAGCCTTTTCTGAAGGCGTATTCAGTCTGTGTGACAACCACGGTTGCAGTGGTGGGCACTACTGCAGTGCATTTCAGAAGAATAACTCTTTCTCAGGGGAGATGCACAGAATTCTGCTGTTCTAAACATAGAACAATTCTATGGCAGACTTGTACATTGCTGCTTAGGCCAAAGATCAGTATTCTGGCCAACAAGAATGTGATCAAGTACCTTGTCTAAAGGGGTGGAATCCAAGCCTCACACCCTACTAGAATGCCTTATAAGCCTATGCGAGAGCTTTTGTCGGAAAATGCTGATTCAATGAAACCGAAATGTTTTGCTGAAATGTCTTAATTTCAATGAAAATTCACCACAGGCAGCATCTCAAGTAGCCTTGTCTGTTACTAAACTGCCACTCAGTTTCATGATTCCAATATCCATGTCTCTTTCTACTGGAAAGCCTGGAAATTCTCATCCTTTACCCAAACAAAGTTTCTGAGTGTTTGCGTTCCCTGTGAACATGGGATTTCAGAGCTGTGACAAGCTCTGCTTTACCCCCCACACTAACTATGTTGAATAAAAAGACACAAGAAGGACGGACTACAATTTTTGTTTGCTAAAGATGAGGCAGTAGAGCATTCCCTGTCTCATGTGTTCTTGCTCTCATGAGAAGAAAGGGCTGGTAAACAAGACTTTCAGTGAGAAAAGGAAAACTTCAGCAGTTTCATGGGTTGGACTGGTAACTGGAGAACCTGTTAGCTGTAGGTTGCTTTTATGGCCCACACCCTACCATTCTCATGCATCTCTCTGTGTTTACTCCCTGGATTATGTTCATCCTAAGGGAGTATCCTACTAAAGTGGTTGAGATACTCCATCTTTTTATGCAGGTGTGAACACACTAAATGTAGCCATTTGTTCCTTAATGTTGTTAAACATGGTGAAATACTAGTTTTATGGACATTCTGGGCCTGGCTTTCTTTACATTCCATTTCCCTTATTAGCCTTTAAGTCTTCTTACATTGATTAAGTAAAAAGAATACAAGATTTGCAGTAGCCTTTGAGGACAAAAGATACAACTGTCATTCTTACAACCACAGCAATTCTCAGTGATCTATAAAAGGATACTAAGGCCTCATATGAGTTGAGCTTGCATGAAGATCTATACAATCAGACACACATAAAAAGGGCTGTTCTTAGTTCTAACAAGTTCCCAGTCAAAACTCCCACTCTCTCACTTAGGGCTCATAATTTGAAAAGTAGTGCCTCATTCATACAGGATGATTTTCGCTGGAAGAAGTTGTCTTTCTGCATAGTCCCTGTAGTGTTTCATTGCTTGGCAGATGGTAGCACAGAGGTCTACATGTCAGAAAACATCTCCTGTTTATGTATCAGTCCACCCAATTCAAATTGAATTATACCTTCATGTGACACACTTTTTTTGCAGGCCATTCAAGAGCTAAGTGCCAATGCAGTGTCAAATTAATCAGCTCTTAAGTTATTTGAGAGATAAAGAATCTACTATAGCTGCTAGCTGAGAAATTACTTAATTTGCATTAAAATGATAGCAGTTCATGCTTTTAGGTCCAAAACCTTGAAATGGTTCAGCAAATTGCACCTGCAAACTTCTCAAAATTGTCCTTGGATTAAGAAGCAAATATATAGATTATATTAGTTTATCTGACTGCTAAACTAAGCATTTAAATAACACAATTTTCACTCCATAATGTCCCCTGGAAATCTGCTTGCTAAGGAAAGGATAGACTAATGTGGATTTATACATACACACACAGAGTAGCTTTCTGAGCTCTGACGTTAAATCTTAATCACATGGGCCACATTCTGATCTAGTGTTCTGGCTCTGAAGAAAAACTCTCTTGACATTGTACTCTTCCCTGGTGACTAGGTAATTATTTATATATAGGGGGATTGCTGCAACAAGAGGTCCTGTCAGAAACTGCTTCTGCAACTTGATGGTTACATACTCCCTAGCAGGGAGCATCAGAGGGGCAGAGGACATACGGAGAAATGTTGCACAGAAGGATATGTGGTTCTGAAGTCTTATACTGCATTTTATAAACAAGTGTTTTTCTCACTTTCTTCCCTCTCATCCCTTCCAGAAAACAAGATTTTAGTGTCTCAGCATCCTTTTCTCACTGTAGCTAACAAAACTGCAACTCTAGTCTGCAACTACACATACAATGGAACAGGGAAGGAATTTCGAGCTTCGCTGCGCAAAGGAACAGACAGTGCAGTTGAAGTTTGCTTTATTTCATGGAACACAAACAAAACTATCAGTAATTCAACTAAAAAATTCAACTGCCAGGGGCATCATGATAAAGACAAAGTCATCTTCAATCTTTGGAATTTGAGTGCCAGCCAAACTGACATCTACTTCTGCAAAATTGAGGCCATGTATCCACCCCCATATGTTTACAATGAGAAGAGCAATGGGACTGTCATTCATGTGACAGGTAAGATCTCTGTAGGCCGGTATCCTCCCTATACCCATTCCCAGCAAGAGGGCTTGAGGCAGTTTGTTTTCAAGACAGACAGAAAGAGAAAGAGAAAGAGAAAGAGAAAGAGAGAGAGAAAGAGAGAGAGAAAGAGAGAGAGAAAGAGAGAGAGAGAGAAAGGAAAAGAAAGGAAAAGAAAGGAAAAGAAAGGAAAAGAAAGGAAAAGAAAGGAAAAGAAAGGAAAAGAAAGGAAAAGAAAGGAAAAGAAAGGAAAAGAAAGGAAAAGAAAGGAAAAGAAAGGAAAAGAAAGGAAAAGAAAGGAAAAGAAAGGAAAAGAAAGGAAAAGAAAGGAAAAGAAAGGAAAAGAAAGGAAAAGAAAGGAAAAGAAAGGAAAAGAAAGGAAAAGAAAGGAAAAGAAAGGAAAAGAAAGGAAAAGAAAGGAAAAGAAAGGAAAAGAAAGGAAAAGAAAGGAAAAGAAAGGAAAAGAAAGGAAAAGAAAGGAAAAGAAAGGAAAAGAAAGGAAAAGAAAGGAAAAGAAAGGAAAAGAAAGGAAAAGAAAGGAAAAGAAAGGAAAAGAAAGGAAAAGAAAGGAAAAGAAAGGAAAAGAAAGGAAAAGAAAGGAAAAGAAAGGAAAAGAAAGGAAAAGAAAGGAAAAGAAAGGAAAAGAAAGGAAAAGAAAGGAAAAGAAAGGAAAAGAAAGGAAAAGAAAGGAAAAGAAAGGAAAAGAAAGGAAAAGAAAGGAAAAGAAAGGAAAAGAAAGGAAAAGAAAGGAAAAGAAAGGAAAAGAAAGGAAAAGAAAGGAAAAGAAAGGAAAAGAAAGGAAAAGAAAGGAAAAGAAAGGAAAAGAAAGGAAAAGAAAGGAAAAGAAAGGAAAAGAAAGGAAAAGAAAGGAAAAGAAAGGAAAAGAAAGGAAAAGAAAGGAAAAGAAAGGAAAAGAAAGGAAAAGAAAAGAAAAGAAAAGAAAAGAAAAGAAAAGAAAAGAAAAGAAAAGAAAAGAAAAGAAAAGAAAAGGTGTTGGATTGCCTGGTCAATCTATATTCCTACTCCTGATGTCCTGAAGAAGATATCTTAAAACAATGGTTAATATAAACAGCATATTGTAACAAGCAGTAAATAAGAGACTGAGGTTTTTGCTTTCATATGCTTAAAGTTTTATTTGTTCTTTCCCTTAAAGAGACACCCATCCAGTCTCCAATTCCTTTGTGGATTATGGTGGCAGTGACTGGAGTTCTTGGCTTCTACAGTATAATAGTAACTGCAGTTTTTATTATCTACTGGGTAAGAAACTACTATATTCTTTGCTCAACATGCTTTTTGTCACTAGTTAATTTCTCAGGCTATACTTGCCATGTTTACCACAAACTCACTGATGCCACTCACTTCAGAATCACAGTGCTTCTTCAGCCAGCTATGCTATGCCCCAAAAGACCTGAAACAGCAGATGGTCTCCAGATGGGAAGTCGGGCCTCTGCAATAGAGTCCTAAAGCAAACAGTAATACCGTTGTGTTGGCAGTGCCCTGCACACCAGCAATAGTGACAAAAGGAGCTCACCTACAGTAAAGCAATCTTTAGGGAACTTCCAGTTGGCCCAAGACCATCTGCACCAATGTCTTGTGCCTATTCAGCAATTCCCTCAAGTACACTCTATTTCTGACAGGTTGACTGCAAAGGAATATGAGCACTGGGATCTCAGTAGTCCCTTGGCTACCTTTGTATATTAACCCTAAGAAAGCTGAGACAGTCTTATGGCTCAGTATTTTTGCTTTCTAATCTTTGGAGAGTTGGCGGCTCAGGTCTCATCCAGTTCTGAGTTCTGCCTGCTGGAGTAAAGAGAGAATGAGGCATAATGCAGAGGCAGCAGAAGAACATATTCCTAGACAAATATTAGGATCATGATCTCCCAGAGCTGATTTACACTAATTACTCTGTGTGGGAAAGACTTGAAAAATGACTATAGAGAGCTCTATTCCTTGCACTCTGCCCTTCCCCTGTACCTTTTTGTTAAATAGCGATTTTCAACACATTATGAGGTAGTCTGTATGAAAGGCCCAGAGTCCCTGACAGGTTAAATATTGCATGTACACATAAAGTCACTCTCACTGCTAGCTGAAACTTGAGATGTAGTAAGTGTTTCACAAAAATACTCTTGCTCAATATATGGTTATTTCTAACAGAAAACAATCAAATGGTGCATTGTAGAGGCTGACTCCTAAGAGAGCTGAGAGGATTACAGCAAACAGCTGCTGGTGTTGCACTGCTGTGCTACAGTAGTTATGTCCTGATGAGATACTGTAGCTTCAAATCCACCATTTAGAACTTGAACATTTTTCTCTCTGCTATATTCATTTGGTACCTCATGGCTACACACTCTGCTACTAACATGTCTGCCCCCAGCAAGAGTGACAAGGCTGCATTGTTACGTGTGCTGTTTTTACCATCACAATGTTATTGCTGATGGTGGTATTCTCCTGACAATATGTACTCCAAGTGTGGATGTATTTAGAGTGTTACTCAAGGCAAATACAGCTGCTCAGAATACATTGCGAATTGTAAAAAAAGGTCCGAAAATATGATACTTGACAGCCATAGCAATGGCAATGCTTCACTTGAGTTCCTAAAAGCAGGTAAAGGTTTGTCTGTTTTCATACAGTCCTTCCCTAAGGAAAATTGCTTTCCCCTCCAAAAGTAGTCTTTGATCCTGGAACAGTCTAGCACTCACTCATGCTAACAAAATGTCTTTATCCCATGCAAAATTACTTTTTAGGTGAACACATACAGGTAAAGCATTCATCAGCTCTATTACATAGATGAAGCAGTATGTATCTTACATTCAACACCTTGCATATATATAACATCAATATAAAAAAGCCTGAAATGTTTCACAGTATCTGTCCCACTCTGCCATCAGACTTTCTAATGCAGAGCTCCTCCAATTCCACAGCATTACAAGTATATTGCAGCATTTTCAAATATATACATAGGAAAGACATTTCAGGAAAAAGGAGATTGCAAAAAAAGGTATGATTAGTATTAAGAAAAAAGCATGGAAGCACTTCACCTAGCCCCCAGTCAATAAAGCCTTAAACTAGAGAAAAACACCAACCTTGAGCACAGCCTGCAGCAGCCAGAGGTTCAAATGCTGCAGTAGCCACAAACTTCCTCTGTGATTATAGGCAAATTATTTCACCTGTCTTCTGCCACTCTTATTTCTGAAAGAGATGATGTCTCGCTTGTCTCACAGAGGCATTATAAGGCAGGAATTCAACAGCAGAAATGAGACTTTTGAGGCCCAGACAGTGAGACAGATAAAAGATTAACATCAGCTCCCATTTTTTTTTGCCCCTTTGAAGGAAGGCTCAGAACAACATGTGCATTGTGTGTTCCTGCTGTAAATGGCAGGCAAACCATGACAGAACCTGGCTGATTTTTCCTGCTCTTGTTCTGTTTGAGTTAAGCTAATTTCTTTTTTTCCTCCTAATAAATAAGGACAGCCATCACTACTCAGATTGTATTGCTTCTGCTGAGTCATTTCACAGCTGAGAATTGGTGGTGAGAGGCATCAGTTTGTATCCTTGGTTTACAGCATTCCTTTACCTGGATAACTAACACTGTAAATCTCTCAGCAGATAAGCTGGAGACTCACATTCAGGTTGGGCAAATTCCATAGATTATTTTAGAAAAACATGTGTTCTAATTCTTCTGTAAATGTATTTAAACCTGAGGCTGCTTTTTAAATATGCCTCCTTCTCTGAACCAGGACCTAGGGCCAGAATTGTCAGCAGTTGGGCAAGACAATTTATTAGTTCAAACAAGGAAAAATTAATCAACTCGATTACTAACTTTTCTGAGGTCTTATTAACAGTCAAAATCCCTCTGCTCAAAGGATCCCCGTTTTGTTTCTTCTCCTTTCTTGAATGTTCACCCCAGGTGGGACAGTCTAATTGCAGGTATGTTTTTACTATTCCCCTTCTCTGACAGCAAAAATCAAAAAAGCGTATGTACCATCAGAGTGACTACATGAACATGACTCCCCGGCACCCACCATACCAGAAGAAAAAAGGTTACCCATCCTATGCTCCAACACGAGACTACACTGCCTATCGGTCCTGGCAGCCATGACACCCACCAGCTGAAGCACCACTGGCCTTGCATGCTTCTAGGCAGTCATTTACTCTAGGACATGGAAGGACAGCCACTCATTTTCTAATCATGTCTGTGGTTATTGATCGTGAATACATACGCCATAGCAAGTATTGGCAACACTTTGATATTATACTAAAAGAAAATATAAACAACAAACAAGCATAAAAAGGGGGAAGGAAAGTAAAAAAGGATTGTTCTTCATGATGGCTGAAAATGAGATACAACTTCTGTTCAGGGTTGTCAGTGGGTAAGACAGAAAGACAGCATCAGACATCAGAGCCTTCCTAACACCTGTGGTTTTGCTCAGCTGTTGGGAGAACTGGAACATCTGACCTTTCCCAATAACTAATACCTTAGATTTAACCCTCCATTTCCTTTCCTGTATGGCTAGTCCTAGGAAACTGTTGTTGCTGTTAAATATGGCAAAATGTAAAAACCCCTATATTTTCTACCCTACAAGAACAGGACACAATTTGGAGTTCAAAACACATGCTTGGAAGAAAGACGGAAAAGTCAGCCTGAAGGCTATAGCATAAATGGGCTGTGAGGACAAATCAAGCTGACAGAAAACTACTAAACTTTCAACATGTGAGTCTTTAGGTTGGACACTTTGTAATGTTTATAAGACCACTTGAAGTCATGACCAAGCAGCTCCACAGAGTGGAAAAGTAATCAACCTGAAGACAAAACAAGACAAGCAGGAGAGGAAGAAAGATCTGTTATCATCATGAAGAACTCCCATTTCTGTTTTGTTTGCCTCCTACAGCACGGGAACACGAAGTCATACGGGAAGCATTAGAAGACGCAGAGGTCGTATTTAGCTTTACTTCCATTTCTGAGTTTTTGTTTCTATCCAAAACACACTCTGCTGAGTCCTCCTAAAAATTCCTAGATTGTATGATAGATCTGTCAAAAATTGGCTCCAGTTATGAGTAACTAAAGGTTGCTTGAATTTTTTTCCTGTAAGCACCTAATTTTTGAAGTGTGAGAAGGTCTTCCACTCCCACCACTGTGAATAGGATCTGCAAGTACTAGGCCACCTGCAGGGACTGCTCTGTGGACTTCAAAAAACTTTGTGTTAACTGGAGGCTGCTTTTCTATCTAAATATGTTATTCAGGAATTCTCCATGCTGAAGTAGGACAAAGTCTTCAGCAAAACTTGCATCATTCCTTCAATTAAGCATGTTTACATAAACAAGACATTGTGAACTGTAATTGGGGTTGTCTTAGCATGAAATCCCTTTTCATACTGAGGAGATGAAGTATATTTTATAGGGACTACTGAATAAACAATTACATGAAAGACAAATCCATATTCCCAACTTGAAATAAAACTGGGACAGTACAAGTTTTACTTTCTTCCAAACTCGGATGAGATGGTTCTTTGTCTTTTTGAGGAATCATAACAAAAGTAGAGATGTGGAAGTGTGGCAACAATCTGCTTTGACATCTTAATCAAAGAAAAAAACTTCAGCACTTCCAAATTGGAAGTTTTACTTGAGTTTGCTGACTGAGCCCCTCACCATTCATTCTGAGTCATATCACCATTCCTGGAGCGTGCTGTACCACCTTTAGGCAGTGGTGAGGTGCCTGCTGTCTTCCCAGCCAGGCACAGCTCTGCCAGGGCTGGGCACAGTGCCCAAAATGGCAATGACAAGTGAGGCCCAAGCACCCACTGCCACAAGTCAATTTTTTGTATTTGGCACAGGACTGTGCTCTGGGTCAGTTCATCCAACCTAAAAGCTTGTGATGACTGGCACAGACTGAGAGGATGCAAACACCTTGCCACTTCCCTTCTCACTTGGAGGGGAGAAGGGGATGGTTGAGTGCCAGAGGCATCCAGCCACTCATGGTAGAGAGCAGTGGGCTGGGCACAGTCTGCCAGGGTACAGCACTGCCTCGCCACCCTTCACGGCATCTACCAGTGCTGTCATTGTGTAACACATTAACAAGTCCTCTGATTACAATGCACTGTGAAAAATCACATCTTCTAATTCAAATGTAAGATGAGATGGCAAACATGTATCAAAAGCACAAAACAGGGTAAGCATTCTTTGCTTAAACTGCATATAGATATATCTAGATGCATATTTTTATATTTATTTATTTAAATATTCCTTAGAGTTTTATTATACTTTTTGCAATCTCCTTTAAAAATTATTAAATAGATGCAGCAAATTAAATCCTGAATAAATGCATTGGGCCTGCAGCTAGTCAGAGGAAAGTATTACTTTCTAAAGCAAATATTGGTATAGTTTGCTTTCCTTCCCCTAACACTCTTGTAATTTCCATATTTAAAACATACTGATAGCTCCCAGAACATGATACTGGAAAGTAAATCCTGGAAAATCTGGAACAAGTATTAATTAATTTCACTGACCAAAAAGAGAGATATAAGGAAACAACCTAAACATATAATGAAAAAAAATGAGAAGCACAACAGAAGAGGCCACAGCACTGTGGTAAAATGGATATCACTTATAGTAAAGCACTGTAAGGACACAAATTACAGACTGTTGGAGATGAGATACCAGTAAATACCTTTTATCTACCACTGTAAGGGACTAAAATAAAATGTTTTCAGAGAAGCAAGCCAGTTAAACCTGGAGTCTGGCTCTGCACATGTGGATTAGTGTATATGACAAACAGCAATCCTAATTTATTCCATCTGATTTTAGGAAATGTATATAACATGCCAGGACAGTCCTCGCCCTCCCTGGCCCTGCCTTTGGGCTGTATATGCAGTTTACATGATGATGTAAAGAGAAACCTCCATCTGTTGCTGCTCTGAACTTGGAAACTGGCCCTCAAGGAGGGCAGTATGAGCTCAATGGGGTTTTCTGCCTTGCACACAGGTCTTAATTTAAACACCAATATAATCCTGCTG